TTTGTCGCAAACTTGCTAACTCATTTTTAAATGAGAATTTATTCATATCAGATAAACATTGCAAATCCTGGCCCCAATCTCCGTTTTTCTTCGAACCCAAATGAAGTATTACGTTTCCATATTGACTCCGTGTTTTGGATCCGAGCTTTACTACGAATTAAGCCTTACTTCGGTTACTTTGTAACACCTTATTTTATTTCATTTTTGACAAGTTCAATAATAAGTCCTTCTTGTATTTAACTTCAGGCAATTAATGATGTACCTAACCAAGAATATCTTGAAAGACAATAACGTTAAATCTTGTTGTTTATCAAAACAATACTGAATTGCTTTGGATACAAAAATGTGTATAAAGGATTCCCCGTCATTGTCAACATGCAACAGCATTCCATATTATATAGTATGGGTCTCTGTAGTGAATGCGTGTTGTTGTCCGACGCCTTTACCAACATTCCAGCAACATCACAGAGTTTATCCCCAGTTCATCCTAAACAGTTATATTTGTCACAGCAACTCAGTGGACATTTTACAGTCCTTGTTATGTTTCCAAATTCAGCATACAGCTTGTCACGCACCATGTTGTAATCATCCAAATAAAACGTTAACAAAGTCATCAAAATTGTATATCTATGTATTTTATAAAAAAAACAACTATAGTGAGTGAGTGAGTTAATATTTAACGTCACATCGGCAGGTGTTCACAAAATGGGTTAGTATATCCTGCAGTACCGGACATAGAAGCACCGGGTACTCACACAGAACCTCAATCGTCAACCTTCACTCTCCATTAACTGGATATCTCACATTATGATGTGTTGACTAACGAACGGATGTCTTACTGAGGTTAGAATTAAGTATTTCTAATTACGTCGTACAATTTCAGTTTTATCATCAGGAGTTGACAGTAAGTAAAGACAAGCAATCTAAGGGATCAAAGCACGATTCAGCACTAACATTGGCTGTGACCGAATATCATATCGGAGTTAACGCGCTCAACGCCCAATAGAGCTGGAAACCCCGGTTCTGGGTCCGAAATAAGCACTGATGGAATACATCACGTCTCTCGGACAGCTGAGATAAGGCAACCACGCCTTACTATAACCTAATATAAGCCGAGATGTAGAGGATCACATTGACGTTATTACGAAATTCTAAACTTCTTGACATACAGAGAGAATAACTTGACTCTACAACCCTAACCTAAACTAGGCTATCCTTGAAAATTGGTATAACATATAACACCATAGCCACACTCGACTATTTACAAACCGCCGTCATACAGCTGTAATATCACCAAATGTGGCGTTTAACATTTAAACAAACAAATAAACGCATGCCCATAATATGGTCGGAATCGTGAAATGGACTCTGCATTTAGCAGAGATTTCCAATGGAAGTGGACGTGTGGATGTGTACAATATATGACTTCAAATTCACTCTGTGAACTCCTCGTATTGTATAGCAATGTTGAGTACGAGATAGGATTGCTACTCACCTAATCGTGAGGGTACCAGGACAAAGGAACTAACGCTCCATAAATTATCTTACTGTTTGACATTTCGAGGGTAAAAAAGAGGAAATCTTATTGATACAAAACTTAAGGAAACGTTGAAAACATTATGGCAGGAATCACACAGAGCAGGTAAACACAAAACATCATTAAAATACTGGAATGCTCACCAGGCACTGGGTAACATGAGTGCCTACATGACTGCAGAACTGGGTTGACAAGGGAGAAATCATGAAGGAAAGCTTGTTCTTCTCATATTTTAAAAAGCAACATGGGTTGTTTTCAGAAGATATACTGCACAGGCTGAAAAGATCGTGTTAGAACAACTTAGTCGCTTGGCCCTTGAAACGACTCAAGCCGACAACAAAGGTCAAGGTTATTACAATACTACAGGTTATTACATCATCTAATCATGACCAGTAAGGAATAACCCGTCCCTACCCTTAGTCTACTTGCCTTCAGTCATTATCTATATTCACAACAAGCATCGGGGAGGTGGGGTAGCCTAATGGTAAAAGCGTTCGCTCGTCACGCCGAAGACCCGGGTTCGATTTCCCACATGGGTACAATGTGTGAAGGCCATTTCTGGTGTCCCCCGTCGTGATATTGCTGGAATATTGCTAAAAGCGGAGTAAAACTAGACTCACTCACTCACAACAAACATCAGTAATACCCAAATACCCTTCGTGGATATATTCTCCTTGTGATACGTCGCATCAGTTTCAATAAAGATGCTGTCTATCCACATAAAGTGCTCCTCTTCGTCACACCAGCTTCTTCATACCACTTAAAGAAATATTTTTTTATTCAGAACGTGTTCTTAGATAAACATTGCAAGTATTACGCTTCTATATTGACTCGTGTTTTGGATCCGAGCTATATGACAAGTTAAGCCTTAATTCGATGCAGTTGACTTCGTGACAGCCGGGGTCAATAACACGTTAAGTTTTACTTTGCCTTACTTTGTTTCGTTTTTGACAAGCTCAATAATAATTCTTTCTTGTATTTAACGTCAGGCAATTAATGATGTACCTAACCTAGAATATCTTGAAAGACAATAACGTTAAATATTGTTGCTTATTAAAACAATATTGAATTGCTTTGGATACAAACATGTGTATTAAGGATTCCCGTTATTGTCAACATGTATCAACATTCCATATTATATAGTATGGGTCTCTGTAGTGAATGCGTGTTGTTGTCCGACGCCTTTACCAACATTCCAGCAACATCACAGAGGACGTCAACGGAAATGGGCTTCACACAATGTGGCCATGTTGGAATCGTACCCGGGCCGTCAGCATTATGAGAAGGAACGACTGAACCTCAGGCTATCAACTGGCTCCTGGCATGGCTACTACTTTAAGTAAACATCGTGAAAACGTTGTCATGTCGGTTGTGTCATTCACTTGGGTTCATACACTGCTACCTACCTTATGCCTCTTCGTCTTATCGTGGATAGTTGCGTCACTTTGACACACCAGGAGCCTATGAGCGGGGATTCGAATTTGGGCTCGCCCCGATTGTTTCTAGGTTTGCTAGTATCCACCCCTGGGGTTCACAAGAGTAGCGTCGTCTCAGGCGGCTTTTAGCCCAACTCACCATTCACTATTCCTTGGATGTGTACTGTCTATGTTTAACTGTAACCCTTGTAACGCAAGATACACCTCTATGAAAACACTACCCTATTAAAAGCGACCCTGAGATTTCATGAGAATATTAAAGGGTTTATGTTGGGGGGTTTTCTATAAGGCAACAACACCTTAATATAAGCCGAGATGTACAGGATTATGTCACTTTCATTAAATAAGGAAATTCTAGACTTTTTGGACATACAGAGAGAATAACTTGACTCCACAACCCTAACCTAAACTAGGCTATCCTTAGAAAATTGGTATAACATATAACACCATAGCCAGACTCGACTATTTACAAACCGCCACTGAATGTCGCGTTGAACATTTAAAGAAACAACCAAACGCATGCTCATGATATGGTCGGAATCGTTAATGGACTCTGCTTTTAGCAGAGATTTCCTATGGATGTGGACAAGGTTTGTCGCTTTTATTTACGACCCGGAGACAGATGGCTATAACTGATGGGAAGTTACCTGAGTAGGCCATCATGAGGGATAACAGAATGTTATTAAGTGATGACGGTGTGTACAATGATCAAACAGCTCCTCTGTATATTACAAAACAAGTGTCTTTTTAAAGTAATATCTCGAAAATCATTTAGAATTCAGATCATGTCACCAAATCATTTTCGGTTAAGCGTTAACGGACGTCGATAATGGAAGCTGTAACCCCATCCCTTTCCCTGGTAGATGTTTAAACAGCGGCTGAAGAAAGGGCGATTGAGCGGAGGGTCATCTTACCCCACTGAACCAGGATGATCAGGAATTTCCATAACAACAGCCATTTTCCGTATTCTCGTCTTAGCCACTTAGCGACTCAGCTTGCGGTCTTGACTGTTAGTATACCTTTAGCCTTGGCTTTTGTTTTCTGTTTACTCCGGTGTCTTGGCCAACGCAACCCGTCGTCGATCGAAAAGGTTTTGTCACAGGGTTGTTCATGGTCATATATCAGAATATATTATCCAGTTCACATAATTGGAACAAGCTTGCCAAGGGACACCTTATTACAATATCAAATCCAAATAACACGTACATTTCAGTATTATTTTTTTAGTAAGAATCATCAGACTTTTAACAGAAACTGAAATTGTATCCTTACTTTAGGCTTGTGTCTCTGTTAATGAGTGATATCTAAACAGTACATGAATGCATTTCACCAGCGACAAAGGTGTGAGACAAGGAGCAATCCTTTCACCCTTGCTCATTCCTTTGTTTTATGGGTACATATTTCCACATCAGTCTTTAGAGGTGTATTAAACAAAATGTCTGTTAATTTATGTTCGTCGTTATGTTGTTATTAATTGATAAACTCTCACAATCCATCAAATGTATACTTTTATCAGTCTAAGTAGTATATTACTTACTTGGAAGTTACTGAAGCCAACATAAAATGGTAATGTCTGGATATGGGGAACTGTCTATGTGTCTCTATGGTAAAAAAATACAGAATTTTAATGTTCTGTTGTTCTTCAGTGGTTTTCATGAAACATGGTTAGATATGCACGATATCCGTCAACCTCGATAATACTTCCTGGGGACACCTGAGCAAACACACACCTCCACAGTAGTTGTCATATCATTGGCTGATAAGCAACAAGAGTCCCTCTCTGATTGGTCAGGTGCGAAGAGACACAACTTGAAATGTGTACTCGTAATGGTCGTTTCTAGGATGAGTTTGTGTCTCCCGGGATACACAATATATAGACCGGACACAGGTTCGGGAGTCAAGTATGTTGCCACAACATCTCCCTCTGCCTGTTGTGGTAACAGGTGATATTAAAAGAGCGGAGTGTAGGTAGGTTCCATACAGCTTCAACTTGACCAGGAGAAGACCAGTTCAGAACAGCAAGCACCATGGTTCACTTTCTTCATATCTCAGGTAAGAAGTATATTTATCTTTGCTTCGCGCCTTCTTACTAAAATGTAAGAAAGAACTTCAGGGACATTATATTGATCGTATCCCATGATTGAGTTCTCTTCAGAAAGGTTGTAGACGTATGCCCATATAACTTCACTGATTTTAGTTTATCCGGTCAGGTGTTATATTTTAAGCTATTTCCCTTTCACGCACAACGAATATTCGAGACCGATTACTCTTCATGATTTGTATGTACTCATTTACTGAGTATTTTGTACCTTTTAACTTTGTAATATGTGATACGTTTATCTTGAATTTTATAAGAAATAGATTCTTTGTAATAGGACATATGCCCTATAAGGATGGCAGTTATCATATTAAGTTCATAGCTCGGTCATATCAGTACAACCAAAACTGCTTATCAATGACCAGGTTTAATCTTAATCCCGTTTTGACGGTTATCAGCGCGATTGCCTGTGTGACACAAGTGGTTCATGTTTGCCCCACGCAGACACTTCGATACTATGGTATATTATGTGAAGACAATCAAATGATAAAAAAGAACATGCGGCTATACCACAAACCACATACCACCTCGATTGCCATGTTTTTAGCGTGGAAAGGAATATTGTGAACGTGTTCAGGGCCCAGTTTCACAAAGCTATCGTATCGCTAGGACTGTCGTAAGTCTATGTTTCAGTACAGGAGTTACGAGAGTCCTAGCGCTACGATAGCTTGGTGAAACGGGACCCAGGCCTGTTACAGTGAAATGTCCTTACATCCTTAATGTCGTATCATTTAATAACGCCGATTTAAAAACAATCCATTTTACAAAATGTGTTTCTTATTTTGACTATATATATATATATACAATATATATTATTCAGAAATCTTGTGTTGTTATATTTCGTATGTGAGCGTTCAGTAAGTATTACAATAATGAGAAGCGGACATTACGTTCAGCAGGAATATATTTGTTACATAAGTCAATACAAATCGATGTTTTCTATTTCCGTAACGTTATCTGGGACTACCTCAGAAAGGAATAGCTCAAAGTTTGCTGAAACAAGACAAGATAAGAGACCGTTCATTATTTATGGCTAGGAGGGGTGAAGATTTTTATGGAGAAGCATGTACAATGTGAATGGCCCCTCTCCCCGAAAGGTTATGCACAAAGTAAGTGACTCCCCTGCATGTCATATACAAAATCAGTGAATCGCCCCTTCCAATAAAATTTAAGCATACTTTTTAATTATTTATATGTACAAAATTGCTGACCCCCCTACCTCCCGAGAACAAAATGGGTGATCCCCCACCGCAACCCCTTAAAATCATCATCACATCCCACACATCCAACACCCAAGCCATAAATTATGAACGGTCCCTAAGAGTATGTCAAACTGTGCATGAATAGGTCAAGATCTTCATAATTTAGGCGGTGGGGTAGCGTAGTGGTTAAAGCGTTCGCTCGTCACGCCGAAGACCCGGGTTCGATTCCCCATATGGGTACAATATGTGAAGCCCATTTCTGGTATCCCCCGCCGTGATATTGCTGGAATAATACTAAAAGCGGCGTAAAGCCATACTCACTCACTCATAATTTATGAATTGAGGCAAGCTGTTAGAAAAAGGTTTTCGGATATGTTTATATGAATGAAAATTATACTTTTTAATTGAAACAATTATTGCATGCATAGCTAAAGATTCAACGCGTCAAAAGGCTGATTGTGTTGAGGTACGTTACTTGTAATATTTAAACATGAGTGAGCATTAAGTCAAGTTTTGTATGACACAAATGAAACCTATAACAAGCTGACGTGGTCTGCGTATTAACCAGACGGTACCACCACACTGCATGTAGGCACAGGGCCATAACCTGTGTTGATTCGCATTGTATGTACATTGTATTGACATTTCCTTGTTGGGCTGCGGGTTGTTAAGGGGGCGGGGCAGTTATCACATGGTAATACACATGTAAATACATCACTTACCAACCTTTAATACCCACGCTGTCGTTGTAGCAACAGTTTATCTCATTCCTTTTTATAAGCATTTTAAATCTGGTAAACGTTGAAAAGTATTTCACACTTCCAGTCCCTGTACATCAGACATCAGAGACGGTGAATGACCCATTTCCGGTGTACTAGATGTATACTTGCTGTTGGTTTTGGGAGACAAACAATCAAGTAAATAATATATATATATATATATACTCTCCCCAAAACGAAACGCATATAGGAATTTCAACTGTATTTTTATGTTTATTTTGAAACATCTTGTAGGCTTTATGAGTCAATGAAATATAGCGAAATTGCACACTGGGAATGCAGACTTATCCGTCTTTGGCACCAACTCGAGGAAAGTCAGTTTCAGTGTCACATGGAGACGTGTGGTGGCGCTGAAGTCAATACCTCGTGTGACCACCGTGGGCATCCAGAACTGCACGGCATCGCCTCGGCATCGAACGAATAAGTCTCAGAATCTCGTGTTGCCCAATCGCAGCCCACTCTGCCTGTAGTGCCTGTGCGAGTTGCTGAAGTGTCTGGGGCTGAGGGTTACGGCGTCGCACCCGTCTGTCCAGGCCATCCCACAGATGTTCGATCGGGTCCGGTGATCTTGAGGGCCAGGGGAGCACATTGATGTTGTGGTTCTGGAGGAAGTCTCTAGTGTGACGTGCTGTGTGGGGCCTGGCATTGTCCTGTTGAAACAACTCCCTCTGGCGATCAATGAAATGATTGGAAGGAGGTGTGGGCGTAGGATTTCGTCACAGTACCGTTGAACTGTCGGGTTGCCCTGGATCATCACCAATCACTTCTCCTACGGCAGGTGATCGCTCCCCACATCATAACACTGTCCCGGCCGAATCTGTCCACCTGGGGAACGCAAGCGTCGGTGAAACGTTCACGTCGACGTCTGTACACCCGCATTCTTCCATCGCGTCGTTCCAATAGAAATCGTGATTCATCACTGAACCAGATTCTACGCCAATTCGGTAGGTTCCAGGCCTGAACGTTGGTGCACCATTGAACTCGATGTCGACGATGTTGTTGTCGAAGCACAGGGCCAAAATAAGGTCTTCTGGCACGTAAACCAGCCTCTCTCAACCTGTCCCTGACGGTCTGTGCAGAAAGCCTCCTCAATCCGGGTATTTGTCGAGAGGTACTGGTCGCCGTAGCTGTTCGATGACGCAGGTGATGTACCCGGATGTAGCGATCCTGCGCCGCAGTGGTCGCTCGTGGTCGCTCGAGGTCGCCCACTACGAGGGGCATCTGCTACCGCATTCTACCGGCGACATCTCTCCCAGAGCCGTGAAATGGTGCTCTGGTGAACATGCATGCGTCGGGCAACTGCACGTTGAGACTGGCCAGCTTCAAGCAAACCAATGGCGATATGACGGTTGGCTTCACTTAGACATGGCATTTTGCGTTCGTCAACAATATTCCAAATACAGTGAATAATCGACGGACAGCAATCAACCTTTTATACCCATCATTGAGACAATCTGATCCCAAACTTTCACGTGCATTGCATGTGAATTGTGTATTCTGTGACACTACACGCCGAAATTGAAAATCATGCTGTTAAATACGGGTATTTTACGGATGGTGCGTTTTGTTGTGATGTTTCAAAACATAAACACCATAAGACTCATAAACAGAGCAAAACCTTTTGTGAAATGAATCACGTTTTAATTCATTGCTACATGAAATTGCTATTTTCATGATGCGTTTCTTTTTTAGGAGAGTATATATACGCCAACTGACAAGAGAAGATTAATAGATTACAACAAGTACATTCAAGTGAATAAACTGTGACATGGTATTTTGTCATCAACAGTAACGCTGCTTTGCGTCGTCATCACCGGGACGTGGGCAGCAAACTGCATCAACGACGCCAGCTGTAACGGGCATGGCACCTGCCCCACGGCCTGCACAACTGTCTGCACCTGCACTGGCGGCTATGGCGCTGACGACTGCTCTGTTCGTAAGCTGGTCTTCATACTTATTGTTAATGAAAATTCAAAGGTTTCATTTCACGATAAACTAGATCCAGGTATTTAAGCAAATATAGAATGCTTCCCTAAGATATATATATATATATATATATATATATATATATATATATATATATATATATATATATATATATATATATATATATATATATATATATATATATATATATATATATATATATATATACTATATCCAGGTATTTAAGCAAATATAGAATGCTTCCCTAATATATATATATATATATATATATATACACACATATATATATATATATATACAGACACACACACATATATATATATATATATCTATCTTCTCACACAATTGTATCTAACATACGAGAACAATTCTAACAAGAATATTATGTAAGGGTGTAAGACAACAGTACATAAACATACTTAGATTTGTTGTCATCAACAAAATTGCTCATAATTGTAAGAGAGTTACCATGGCTTAAACTGATTTCGGTAATTATACATCATTTTATTTTCCCCTTAGTTGTTAAGTTTCAGTGTCATTGTAGTAATAACAGAGACACCACAGTGTTATTTACCCCATGAAACCTCTTCTGTAATTATAAACAACGCGTTCTGTGCATTAGCGGCCAACTCAGTTATGCCGATTTTTGTCCTTGCGGGAAAACTTTAGCTAATCCTATTGTAAAAAGTCAAACAACACTCACTCACCCTACCCCCACTTTCCCCAGCCCCGGTGTGCACGGCCGGCGGCAGCGAGTGCGGCGGTAAGGGCACCTGCACCACTTCCAGTTCCCCCTACTTCTGTTCCTGTACGGAAGGCTACGGAGGGACCTTGTGTACAGTAGGTGAGTACAGCGCTCATCTGACTTTACTGTTCGATTTCTTTCATCAAGATATTGTTGCAGCTCACACTATAAATTGGATAACTGCAAAAAGATTGAACACTGTTCTACCTCTAACGCTAAGAGGAACGTTACTATCATTCCTCAACATAGACGTACAGTAGCCGTCTCAGCGATGATTATTAAAAGAGCCTCAGACATTAATGTGAAATAATTTCTTTCTGCCATCGCGTATGTATAGTAATGGTGCCAGCTTTGTGTCTACATTGAAATGTCAATCAGTGTAAATAATTGTAAATAAATGCCACGAAATCCTCTCCACAATCAGAAGAAATCACTACTCCAGACTATCATAAGGCTTTACCTGTTATGATACAAGCTGTACGCCACTGGTGGCATCAGCCAAAGGTTGTTCATTGCAAGTCACTTGTTCACCTCGACACAACGCGCACATTGGGTACGAGGCAAAATATGGAAATGAGAAGTGCTTACTCAAATATGCAGCAATCCATACTATTTGCTTTTCTTCGGTGTGCTTTTAATATTTCATCATGAATACATCTATCCCATTTGGTCTTGATTCTTAAATTATGAGTTAAGAAGATTAAGTGATTGATGTCTATTATATATTCAGCATGTAAAGATTTGTCTCCGAGTTATCTATATTAAGTCTGGACAAAATATCACTGTAAAGAAACTCAAAATATGGATGCATTAACTTGATTTTCAAGCTATTTTGTGTTTGTTTAAAGCTGAACTAGGCAATACTCAAGAATCTGATACATAACGAGAGCCTGTAATCAATCGAGTTAGGATCATACAATCCACTGGGTGACAACACGAGCATTACTCTAAGCAAATGGCATACAGTGACTTTCAAAGGCTTTAACGAACACAACCAGCCAATATCGTTAGCCTCATCTTACAACTATTGTAGCCCAAACCTTCACATATTACATTAAACTGAGAAAGTGGCATTTACAATAACTCATCTCTCATAGTTACAAGCCAAAATTACCAATAACGGAAATGAAATTTCATTACAGCCCCAGTCTGCACGGCTACAGGAAATCAGTGCGGCACCAACGGCGACTGCACAACGACCGCCTCCCCCCTATTTCTGCACCTGCAAGAACGGATACTCTGGAACACTTTGCACCACCGGTTAGTTCCGTTTTATACTTCTGGAGCCACTTCTCAGATCTGTCACATTGTTATGACTGTTGCTATCGCAGTAAAATTGAAAGAAACAACTGTATTTGCCACACTGAAATCGTATGTACAAGATGAATATATTGCTAGTAAGTGTGACCATAGACAGAGTGACCATACGTGGATACAGACTGACAAACAGCCATCTAACACACGATCCCGGACATGTATACCAAATTGAGCTGACATGTGTGTGGTTATTTCACCGACATCTGTTTAATGATGTCCACTCACCCAACTTGAAATAATGAGTTATTTCACTTTTCTCCTTTCGTGTCCTTTTCGCATATTCATTCCAATCAGCGCTGTAGTCGAACCGCACAACCCTATCCCAAACCTACGTCCATCCCTCACGTGTTGTTACTTCAGCATCGCTAAAACCAAGTTTCACTAGTACCAATTTTCCATTGCAGCCCCCATCTGCACTGCTACCGGAACTCAGTGCGGCACCAACGGCGACTGCACAACGACAGCTTTTCCCTTCGTCTGCACCTGCAAGAACGGATACTCTGGGCCACTGTGCACCGTCGGTTAGTGGCTCTAAGATCGCTTCGTAGAATAGAGCAGTTGGTGATGCAGCACACGTTGGGCGTAAAAACTATTTGCTGGATAAGTGGAGTACTTTGGGGACGTTGTCAAGATCGCGAGTATTTCAAGTGTGTATATGCTTACTTAAAGTTACAATACTAAAAGCTATGCTATAAGCAGCTCACTCATTCAAAAGTGTTAACCATTATACTAATACCATTGCAGCCCCCATCTGCACGGCTGCAGGAAATCAGTGCGGCACCAACGGCGACTGCATAACGGCAACCTCGCCCTACGTCTGCACCTGCAAGAACGGATACTCTGGGCCACTGTGCACCGTCGGTTAGTGGCTCTAAGATCGCTTCGTAGAATAGAGCAGTTGGTGATGCAGCACACGTTGGGCGTAAAAACTATTTGCTGGATAAGTGGAGTACTTTGGGGACGTTGTCAAGATCGCGAGTATTTCAAGTGTGTATATGCTTACTTAAAGTTACAATACTAAAAGCTATGCTATAAGCAGCTCACTCATTCAAAAGTGTTAACCATTATACTAATACCATTGCAGCCCCCATCTGCACGGCTGCAGGAAATCAGTGCGGCACCAACGGCGACTGCATAACGGCAACCTCGCCCTACGTCTGCACCTGCAAGAACGGATACTCTGGGCCACTGTGCACCACTGGTTAGTTATATTTTGTGCTTCTATAGTTAGTCTAAAGTTTCAGTTTCATGATCAGTACTCATCCGTGTCATGAATGAACATTTTAACGACATTGTTTGAATTACATTTGCTCAGGAAACAGAGATATTTTAATAAAAACTGACTTCTGGGGCAAAACGAGTCCTGGAAGGATTCAGGTATGATACAAAATGTTAATATCTGATAACGGCGTCGCTTCATGTTGTCACTTTGATGTAAATTAAATCACGCCGTTAAATCAAAATGGCTATTAATTAAGCTATGTACATGTTTAGCCGTTTTGTTTCCTTCCCTCATGCTTTCCACACATTCTGCCAAACACAGAGCCGATCTTCACGGCTACCGAAACATCCCTCATGTTGTCGTGTCGTTCCTTCACCATCGCTTAAACCAAGCTTTAATATTATTAATATTTTTTATTCATTGCAGCCCCAGTCTGCACGGCTACAGGAAATGAGTGCGGCGCCAACGGCGACTGCACGACGGCAGCTTCCCCATACGTCTGCACCTGCAAGAACGGATACACTGGCAATTTGTGTACCGTAGGTGAGTAGGATCACAAGGAAGATTTCCCATCTCTCCAAACACGTATCTTGTACTTACATATAGAGTGAATCAATCCAGTGGATCCAGTGATACGTTCAATCGCTTGAGGACATACTTGATATTTATTACTAACACTCTATAGCAGGGTTACATTGGTGTTTCTTAAACGACTTGATTAGACGTGCTGGATGTTTTATCGTTGTGAAGACATAGTGGGTAATAGGATTCTCTGTCTGTAAGCTCCATACGCGTATCCGTCCATAGTCTGCATCAGTTTCATCATGAATTATACTGAACATGTTTAAATCGGAGAGTGGAACAACGCGTAGAAATCACCCCTATGTTATTGTAGCCCCAGTCTGCACCTGCAAAGAACGACAGATACGTCTGCACCTGCAAGAACGGATACTCTGGAACAATTTGCACCACCCGTTAGTTATATTTTATGTTTCTTCAAATTTACAAATTCACTTCCAAAATCGGTGCTCATCCGTGTGTTAATATCGTGTTATGAATGAACAACTGCAAGAGGGCGTGCATGTTATGTTCACATGAGCCTCAGCAAACAGCAAAATTAAGCAAGAACATTATTATGTATTTCCATGTTTTTGACGCGGTATGTGAATTCATAACACCTTGGAGATTGAACAATAAAACCATATGAACTGAACAATAAAACCATATGAACTGAACAATAAAACCATATGAACTGTAACTGATAAATGGCAAGATCACCAGGAGAAACAGGTGTTTTCTGTTTAATAATATGTTGATAGTATGTTATTTTTTCATTCCAGCACCCATCTGCACCGCTGCAGGAACTCAGTGTGGCAGCAATGGCGGCTGTAACACCTGCGGCACCAACTACTTCTGTCAGTGCAACGGCGGATACGGCGACAGTACCTGCTCCACGGGTAATGCAAACCTCACACAAAAATATCATGGTCACGATTCCTAGACTTAGCTCTGTATGTCATAGAGAGAGCACCTGTTTGGGTATGGAATTTATAATCACATTTGAAATACTAATTCATAAATGCTTCACAGATAATATCAGGATCATATTCCTGTGAAGGGTTCAGCAAACACCAGAAAGTGTTGATGTACAAGGGCTGTCCAAATAGGACACAATCAGTGGCTGGATGCAAACCATATCTGACACTAATGCGGACCCCATCTACAGGAAGTAAATTCCCATTCCAGGATGGGTGATTCCTGAGTGTTAAGACGGTCGCCCTTTCTTTATCGTTGAGTTACGACAGTCGTGGTTCTAAGATCACCTTGTAGAGCAGTTGGTGATGCAGCTCACGTAGGGCGTGAAACGTATTTGCTGGATGGAGTACTTTGGGGACGTTGTCATCATCGCGAGTATTGTAAGTGTGTATATGCTAGCTTAAACTATTTTGACAAAAGTGATTTGTTAAAACGATGTTTGTTCTAACTTTCAGCCCCCTCCTGCACTCATACTGGGAATGAATGTTTGAACCAAGGTACCTGCAACACCACTGCCTCTCCCTACGTGTGCAGCTGCCCAGACCCCTACTCTGGCAACACCTGTGGTAAGTACACCACGGTGTCTATGGTCCATATTTCCTATATCTTGCACCAAATATATTAGATTTAAACACTGATTGAAACAGTAATCGAGACTAACACTACATCACTGTAAACATGACACCGGAAGCACCGTTAGAGGTCGAGGCGAAGGTCAAGGTCGTTGAACCTTATACTCCATTAAACTGTGATACCCAATGTGGAAAGTTTCCTATCTATATGGATTCTTGTCCTTTGGCCTTAAATCGTAAAATGTCTCTCCTAATGTTTATGAAAATATCGCAACTGCCATACCATCTGTAAGGTAGCTTCACAGCTGATCCCTACGTCATTACGTGATTGCTAGCTCCGGTGTTGATATAGCATGTATCGTTGGTCTCAAGGGAAAGACACCAAGGCGAATGAGGAGAAAGATTGAAATACCATTTGTAGCAATATCCTGAAACTGATATGGACAAGACGTACTTGGGGATAAACGAAGTTTTTGCACTCTGAGCCTGAATTTAATACCTGATGAAATTGTTTCGGGTTTTTTTCAGCTCTCTTCAACTCAGGTCATCACGTGACCTACTTCCTGGCGTCCATAGTCCTCTGCCTGCTTGGAAGTGTTCTGTTTTTGTAACTGTTGAGTTGCTATCTAGCCGGTGTTCTTCTCATCCACAGGGACACCATATATATTGCACATGTGATACCAATATCAACTTGAGAAGACACTACTTCGTTAGACCGTTTTTTATAAGTAAATATTATAACTTGGTGTACTTACTTTAGGTGTAATAATTGTGTGGTTCTGTTACAAATGCTTATATCTGCATACTATCGCAAAGTGTGATCTAATATCCCGTTAAGGGGATGCTAGCAGCTAGTTGACACGACTTGAAGCCATATGCCACCTACATGTTTCTTGTAACCAGTCATAGGCAACCATTTGACAAATTGTTTTGGGAAAACTGGATCATGATTGTGTGTTTCTCGGAGAATAATTAAACATGGCCAATGTCTGTAACCAATGAGAAAAGTTGTTCTGTACCCCGATGACGTGTCGAGTTACTGACATCTGTCGGTTGTTCCATTGAAGTAAAGGGTATCGTTCAACAACCAATGTGTTTGTGTTTCTGTATCAAGTCAGGACAAGGTGCCCTGTGTGGGAGATGAAGATATGCGCGCATCCCATTCGTCGTATTAACCTCACAGGCAAGGAGGATATTGTCTCAGCTGCGTAACACCCAACTGGCACCATCAGTCTTTATCAGCCTATTTGTTCATTCTACATTTTGCAATATTCCAGCCTTATCCAGTCTTCCAAAGGTTCCTTAAGTAAAATCATCAGTTTTGATAGAGTGAGTTCAGTTTTACGCCGCAGTATTCCAGGAACATCACGGCGGGGCACACCAGAAATGGGCTTCTCACATTGTACCTATGTGGGTAATTGAACCCGGTTCTTCGGCGTCACGAGCGAACGCTTTAACCAGTAGGCTACCCTCCCGCAATCATCAGTTTTGACATGTAGTCTGATGCACGGGAAGCGACTGCCCACTAAGCATGACTGTTGCGTCTTTATCTTGTGATAAACTCGTCCATATTGAGTGAGACAATGTCGGTATAACGCGAACCACTGGCGTGGAATCATAACATGACACTTTAAGTCAGTAATATTAATATATAATTTAAATCTTTGTAAACGAACAATGTTGATAATGGCAACAATCTTGGAAGCGTAAATTTTCAAGGCTGTTATTTTCTTATTCTTTATTTTATTTTATTCATAATAACATAACAAACACAAAAAATCATAATAAAAAATATAATAATTATGTGTTCTTCTACTACTGTGATCTCCAACAGCGGTGCATGGACAACTGCACCCTGTAGCACACACTTCAACTGTTGCAACCCGACGTCTCATGCTGAGACGGTAATGACAAAACGCAGCATAGGTAACTTTCCTTGTACACTGTATTGACCTATTTATAAGAATATATCAACGGTGATTTTCCCAAAATAGACCCAGGCTGTGGATCCACTATAAGAATGATCTCCACACTATTATAGGTCTCCTTGTGATGTAATATTAGATCAGAGGCAAGAATTAACTCCCCTTTATACACCTAGGAAAACACTCCAGAAGATTTTTTCAACTGCCTGGGTCAAAATATAGTGCAAAGACCCATGTGGTGGTGGTACCCTGTAGTACCTTCCAGAGTTCTGTCTAAATATAGCACACATTTAAAAACAAAGCTCAAGACTGCCCCCTAAACAATAACAGAAACAATGTTAAACACTTGGATGCGTGACAATAGATGGCCCTACAATGTTGGGTTTTGAAATGTGTTTCTCCAACTCTACTCTAGCTGAATTCGGATTTATCGAAATTCGTGTTTCGAAATTGTGAAATTCGTGTATCTGTGTCTAGAAATAAGTGCTCAAGTTGCCATGATGACCAGACGAAACACTCACGTGTGTACGTCAATAAAATGTGGGAAACAGTTTTGAGAATCTACGAATTTCATAGCATGTGAAAGTGAACACTTACATTGAGGCTTTCATTAGGCAGTGATATAATCAATTGTGATATGACCAATTGTAATGCTGTCACTGAGGTTTACCCGAATGTCTTCGATGTCTTTCAATGCTAGAGTTGCTAAGATTTTCAACCGTCGAAAAATTATTTCGGAAGCCATTTTGCAATTCTACAATGTTACCATCACACTATCATGTCAAGGATAAACACGTACAGTTTACTTTCTACACTTGAAATTGACATAAATCAAACTCTATAGTACTTTTCATGCTCTTCCAATGGAACAATTATTTCAATTGACCAAGATTCGTTTTCCAAAACAATACGTTAAACATCATTGGAAGTTAAGGGACAAGAATATCACAAGTATATATATATTGTTTTTTAAATTTAGCCACAACCAAATGATTGCTTGTTGATTTACCACATTTCAAGGTATTAATGACACTGATTACTTCGTCCCGTGAAGTTTGGTAGATATTGGAGACATTACTCTGAGACAATTCATCGAAAACTCAAAAACGCCTAAAATACGACATGCAAGTTCGTAGGGACGACCAGTTAACTGTAAGCTAGCAACCATGTGTTTCGGAAATGAAAGCTACAAAATCCTTTCCATGTCCATTACAAAGCTCTGGTAAAGGCAGAGTCGATTGTACAATAGCGACTATATCATGAGCATGAGTTATGAATCTCTATCAAATAGTGATGATACCAGGTGTTCTTCTAATCCGTCTAGTTTGAGGAATATCATGTCCAGTTTAAAAGGGAACCAAGTCAAAACATTTGCGAACAGAACGAAGAATAAATGTGATTTTACAGGCTGCCTCAAGACGCTATCACAATGTTCCCACAGCATATAATGTGATGTTACAGGCTGCCTCAAGAAGCTATCACCATGTTCCCACAGCATATAATGTGATGTTACAGGCTGCCTCAAGACGCTATCACCATGTTCCCACAGCATATAATGTGATGTTACAGGCTGCCTCAAGAAGCTATCACCATGTTCCCACAGCATATAATGTGATGTTACAGGCTGCCTCAAGAAGCTATCACCATGTTCCCACAGCATATAATGTGATGTTACAGGCTGCCCTCAAGAAGCTATCACCATGTTCCCACAGCATATAATGTGATGTTACAGGCTGCCTCAAGAAGCTATCACCATGTCTCCCACAGCATATAATGTGATGTTACAGGCTGCCTCAAGACGCTATCACCATGTTCCCACAGCATATAATGTGATGTTACAGGCTGCCTCAAGAAGCTATCACCATGTTCCCACAGCATATAATGTGATGTTACAGGCTGCCTCAAGAAGCTATCACCATGTTCCCACAGCATATAATGTGATGTTACAGGCTGCCTCAACACGCTATAAACCATGTTCCCACAGCATATAATGTGATGTTACAGGCTGCCTCAAGGCGCTATCACCATGTTCCCACAGCATATAATGGGATGTTACAGGCTGCCTCAAGAAGCTATCACCATGTTCCCACAGCATATAATGGGATGTTACAGGCTGCCTCAAGAAGCTATCACCATGTTCCCACAGCATATAATGTGATGTTACAGGCTGCCTCAAGAAGCTATCACCATGTTCCCACAGCATATAATGTGATGTTACAGGCTGCCTCAAGAAGCTATCACCATGTTCACACAGCATATAATGTGAAGTTACAGGCTGCCTCAAGAAGCTATCACCATGTTCCCACAGCATATAATGTGATGTCACAGGCTGCCTCAAGAAGCTATCACCATGTTCCCACAGCATATAATGTGATGTTACAGGCTGCCTCAAGAAGCTATCACCATGTTCCCACAGCATATAATGTGATGTTACAGGCTGCCTCAAGAAGCTATCACCATGTTCCCACAGCATATAATGTGATGTTACAGGCTGCCTCAAGAAGCTATCACCATGTTCACACAGCATATAATGTGAAGTTACAGGCTGCCTCAAGACGCTATCACCATGTTCCCACAGCAAATAATGGGATGTTACAGGCTGCCTCAAGACGCTATCACCATGTTCCCACAGCATATAATGGGATGTTACAGGGTGCCTCAAGAAGCTATCACCATGTTCCCACAGCATATAATGGGATGTTACAGGCTGCCTCAAGACGCTATCACCATGTTCCCACAGCATATAATCCACCTCTATAGAAAACCAGGGAGCGGCTGTTCTACTGCTGTTGGTAGTAAGTTAACTGTTGGCGCCCGCATAAAAGTGAGATGTGTTTGTACTTCAAACATGACACGCCGCTGACCACCAGCTTGAATCAGCTTGACAGCTGTGGCATCTCGCCACAAATATTATGACAATGTTTCAGGACGTATGCCAAATAATTACACATCACTACATTGTGATATCACAAAAGAAGTGTGCTAATTTATATCATTTGAACTTAAATAATCACTCGTGATGCTTCTCTTGCTTCAGTTTATGGAGCTTTTTAAACGTTAGTTTTACGCCCCTTTTAGCTATATTCATATAGCGTGCTCGCGGTGGGCGAGCTTGCTAAGGCGCCAGGCTAGTGATGCAGCGAGCCTGAGGTGGCGGGATCGAGCCCACCTGTGCCCGGGTGTAAACACCTTGGAGTCAGCAATATTCCAGCTATATAGCGGCGGTCTGTAAGGAATCGAGTCTGGACCAAACAATCCAGTGATCAACAGCATGAGCATTGAGCTGCGCAATTTGGAAACCGATGACATGTGTCAACCAAGTCAGAATAGAAAGTGAGTGTGTTTAGTTTTACGCCGTACTCAGCAATATTCCAGCTATATGGCGGCGGTCTGTAAATAATCGAGTCTGGACCAGGCAATCCAGTAATCAACAGCATGAGCATCGATCTGCGCAACTGGGAACCGAGTCTGGACCAAACAATCCAGTGATCAACAGCATGAGCATTGAGCTGCGCAATTTGGAAACCGATGACATGTGTCAACCAAGTCAGCGAGCCTGACCACCCGATCCCGTTAGTCGCCTCTTACGACAACCATGGGAAACTAAAGATCAATATTGTAACCCGGACCTTCGTGGGTGTAAACCTGTGAGAAAAGATAATGAATATATGTATAGTCTTACTCTAAATCACTTGACAACTCTGAATGAACAAATGACGCAAATAGAAAGTGAGTGTGTTTAGTTTTACGCCGTACTCAGCAATATTCCAGCTATATGGCGGCGGTCTGTAAATAATCGAGTCTGGACCAGGCAATCCAGTAATCAACAGCATGAGCATCGTTCTGCGCAATTGGGAACCGATGACATGTGTCAACCAAGTCAGCGAGCCTGACCACCCGATCCCGTTAGTGGCCTTTTACGACAAGCATAGTCGCCTTTTATGACAAGAATGGGTTGCTGAAGACCTATTCTACCCCGGATCTTCACGGGTCGACGCAAATAGACTGAATCATTGACCATCAAACAGCTTTCACTAGACCATAACACAATAACGCTAAATCATGAGCCCAATACCTTCTAACGCAATGACAGTTAATCGTTGAACATCCCGACATCTGGACAGGATGCCTATAAGCAAAGTAACACTAAATCTGGCCCGTG